GTTGAAATTCTTATAGATTACATCTAGATTGCAGCGATACATGACATGGTGAAAAATGACTGAATGAATGATAGGCTACTTAAAATAGTTTAAGATGAATTTTAAAATTGTGCCCCCTAAAAGCACAAGTGGCCCCTGTCTGCCCCCCCCAGTTACTGTGGTCTAGAACCACCCCTGACTATTACTCTCTGTACACTTTCAGATACTTAAAGTACCTTTTGTTTATAACTTGTAGTTGTCTATTCCCCCCTTTATTACTTAATATTTGCTTGTATGCTTTGCAGTTATATTTAGTTGGTTAAATTCTTAACAATTGTTTTGATTTATTATTCATTTATAATTATTTTAAAAAGTAGCATGTTTATACTGTATTATTTAATAAAAATAGTATTTTATATTCATTTCATATCAAATTTATTTTGTGTATTTTTAAAATACACAAACTAAATTTGATATAAAATGAATATGAAAATGTAGCCATGTGCCGTAATATTGAAAATGGAGGATGAGACGCATCGTGATGCATCATGATATGGAATTGAAAACATGAGAATCAGTCACTGCTCTTAACTAAGTAACTTCTGTAACTTTAATAGGTAATTGTGTCAATTCACTTCATACAGTAATACAGTTTTCACAATAAACTATTGTTTATTTAGGTAAATTGTATCTTTGTATCTAATGGTCTCTCTGAGTGCTAAGCCCCCCTAAAGATGAAATCCTAGAACCGCCCCTGGCACGTACACTCTGCTTATTACTCACACAGGGACGTGCACACAAACATGCCAAATATTAAAAATTAAATGATTACAATGTAAAAGATTATTATTGTGTAGGCTAACTAAATATAAAAATGCCTACATGTCATAATGGATAGTCATCAGAATTAGGCTACCTGTTTGCTCGCGCACGAGCAGCTCCATTTCCTCACTGGAGACATGTTCGGTCTTTGCTCTTGCAAATTCTGCCGTGTAAATAGCGAATCTGCCATGGCGCGTGTTTGCAACTGGGAATGGGACATGAGACTCTGATTGGTTTATTGCATGTTATGCCAACCAGACCCATTACCCATTAAGAGAATAGGGACGACCCTTTTAGACCATGCGCCAGGCACACCGACCGTTTTTCCCATCGTTAAACTAGCAAAAGTGGATTCGGACACGCCCTAAGTGCACCTGCGCCTTGCAATTTATACGCTGAGATCGTTAAAATAGGGCCCCAAGTGATCATCCAAATGCTTGTGTCTGGAAAGCTGCACAGTCCAGGATTAGTGATCACCAGTACATTTGTTAGTGTTTGCTTGCCATGCTGCCTCCTTTATGCTGCTTTACTTCCTGATTCGTGTCTGGCTCTAGGCTGAACATTTTGGGCTCCGGTGATATGAGAGCGGGATCCATAATTAGCACAGGGTTGTTACTGATGTGGTTGTCTACGCTGTTGCCTACGCTGTTGGATCTGCAACCGCTTCTGCACCCCGTCAGGTGACAGCTCGGCTGTTGGAGCGGTTTCCTAAGTGTCAGTTGGCTCTTTGCAGACTTATTTTAGCTTGAGAGAGTAGCAGCACTTTCAGCAGCCCTTTCCACTTGAAGTGCACTGATATTGCCCTAGATAGTGTTAGTTTGTCTGTATATACTGATGCATGTAACAGGGAAGTTGATAAACCATGCAGCAAAACACCAACATCAAGCTTTAACCTGTGACAAACTCTGTTTTTCAGGTGTGCTCGGTTTTACTAATGAAATATCAGTGATGAAGGGAAGTTCAGACACTCTGAACTCTGGTCTTACTGATATGAAAGATGATGATGTGATTCAGTGGAGGTTTGGAAATAAAAACACTTCACTAGCTGAAATCAATAAACGGGCCAGCAGCATGTCTGTATATGAGGATGTTCTTGATGGGAGATTCAGACACAGACTGAAGCTGAACAATCAAACTGGATCTCTGACCATCACAAACATCACAGCTCATCATGCCATTCACACACCAGGTACATGATTGATGTCATTTCTCACTAATTGTTTTGCATATGTAAATTTTTGTGAGACTTATTAATTTATAGCTTTATACCTGTACCTCAGGTACATGACTGATGATGCAATTTCTTGCAAATTACAGTATATTAATATTTGTGAGATTTGTTAATGTAATGCTATATATGTTAATGTTTTTCACAAAGTATAGAAGTCTAAAGCACAATGGTGAACTTTAAAGGTTCTTCAAGTGTGTGTTTTGTTCTTCTAGTGTTTTTGTCATAATACTGATGATTACTTGAGCTTGTGCTCTATTGTTCACTGTCAGATTTGTAAAAATTCAATTTGAAAGGGTTTATTGTTTATAAACGGTTTCAACGGCAACAACATAAACAAACGTTACTGCACATGCACGCTTTTGTGGCCCAAACTTAACTTCCGGTAGACTTCCACATAGAATCAATAGCAACAGCAAAGTTGCTTTACAGCAACGGTGCGTTTCCACTACAGCGTCAAATCCGCAATGCTACAATGCCACTGCTTTGGGGCTTGTCAAATTTAGCACGCCTCTTAAAGGGCTCATATGATGCGATTTCAAGTTTTCCTTTCTCTTAGGAGTGTTACAAGCTCTTGGTGCATAAAGAAGATCTGTAAAGTTGCAAAGACTAAAGTCTCAAATCCAAAGAGACGCGTCTGTTGTTCACATCGTCTCAGTCGTTCTCGTGGGCCGAGCATCTGAAGGCGCAGGAGGAGGCGCAGGGCTTGAGCTCGCACTGCAGGGCCGAGTTCTCCAGCTTACCTGCTCATATACAGGTGAGGACACAGTTATAGGGAAGGGTATTTTCTGCAGATAATCTCAAACTACCCCTGTTTGCGTTTCATCTTCTTCTTTTCACAGCAATCGGTTGCCGCCTGGTGTTTTTCGCTCGATATTTGCATAAAGTCGAGGATCCTCTGCCACTGACTCCACTAGTTCTGTCTGATTGCTTTTGAAGGCAATGTGAGTCAAGTTCTTCAAGTGGGTTTTTGTTCTTTTTATGTTTTTCCATATTACTGATGATTATGTGAGCTTGCATGCTCTCTTTTTCTTTTCTCTTTTTCAAATGTATTTATTTGCAAGGTTTCATTGTTTAGATTTCTCTCAAACACACAGATCTCTCTTCACTTCTATTGCTGTTCATTTGTCATCTGTATTTGCTCATCTTTATCAATAAAGTTTCCTCACTCAAACAGTATCTCCATGTTTTATTATGTTGACCACCCCCTCATCATCTATTAAGCAAATTTGGATTTCTTGATTCTTCAGCTCGCTACTCAAGTTAAGTGCTTAAATATCTTGATTCATCCTCATTTATCTCTATTCTCTCATGTTTTCCAGCTCGTCTGCCTGTTATCAGGACAATACAGAAAAGCATAGAGATTGTGAAGTTGGACAAGAAATGCTGTGATACAGTATATGATGTTACATTAAAGATACACATATTGAATAATATTTAAAAAAGAGCCTAAAGACAGTTGAACTGGTGGAGCAAATGAGAAAGAAGTAAACAGCAAAACGTGATTTGTGTGAATGATGATTTTGAGGGTAACGTTGGTACCAGATAGTATCCATGAGCTTTTATTACATTTCACACATGCACAAAAGATTATTTAACCCTTACATGCATGAATGTTTCTGCAATTATTATTACATATTCTGGTCTTTAGCGACCCGGACCTATATATCCAGCAAGGATGGACCTCTAACTGCTTCAATAGCAAAAAATTATCTTGATATTTTAAGAATTACAGAAGAATAAAATAAAGCATGTTTCGTTACCTTTTGAAACTTAAAAGGGTTCAGTTTGAGCAGATGATTTTACCATCGCTGTCATCGTCAGAGAGCACTTCCACAGCACATTCAGCATCTGGCTCATATTCACGATTTCAACCATATTCTCAAAACTATCATTTTCAATTACTTCATATTCAATATTTTGATCACTGGCAGCTTATTCACCACATCCAGCATCAAATGGCAGTGACATTTATATTTCATTTCGTATAGTAATTCCTCTGCAGTAAAGCCATTCAAACCAGTATATTTTTTGCTGATGATATTCGTTTGTTTTATGCCTGCGGTAATTATGAGTGAAGCATCACGTCATCATTGTGTATCAAACAGTGCCACCTTGAGGAAAAAAGATGCATTGCACAAATTGAATCATCAGATATGTAAATATAGTCGCTCGGGAAAAAATACTTAAAAATTTACACTGAACAAAATTATAAACACAACACTTTTGTTTTTGCCCCCATTTTTCATGAGCTGAACTCAAAGATCTAAGACTTTTTCTATGTACACAAAAGGCCTATTTCTCTCAAATATTGTTCATAAATCTGTACACAGATTTAGACAGATTTGTGAACAATATTTGAGAGAAATAGGCCTTTTGTGTTCATAGAAAAAGTCTTAGATCTTTGAGTTCAGCTCATGACAAATGGGGGCAAAAACAAAAGTGTTGCGTTTATAATTTTGTTCAGTATACATACCTTGGGTCTCTAGCGACCCTATACACTTTTTACAAAAAAATAATCAGAAAACTGTCATTCTTTTATATTTTACTATTTTTTTCTTGTTATATAGTTTATAATGAATAGTTTGAGGAATACTAAGAAAGTTGATGTCTAACTTTGAAAAATGAAGGAGGGAGAGGGTAGAGAATGATGTCCCGGGCCGCTAAAGACCCGAGGTATGCATTTAAGGGTTAAGCATTTTCAGACTTTTGGAAAACGCTTGAAAATGCTAGTGTGGACAAAGACACATTACCATGGCTGTTTATTTCTGCCTAATTTGCACTGGTATTGACTTAAACTTTGACTTAAATTGCTTCAGACAACCTGTTTGTTGATCGCCTGAACTTTGCTTGTTCCTGCTTTTGAGTTTGAAAATGTAAGAGATCAGCAAAATCTTGTTGATTTTCGTGACGTAAAAAAGGATGGACATCTGAAAGTAAACTTTGACGGAGGGTAGGGGAGGATTCACACACAACCAGGTAAATATCACAGTTCACTCATGTTTAAGACATTTTAAGCATTGCTATCGAGAGCTTTTCAGTGAATCGATGAGGAAAATGGCAATCAAATTAGTTTGGTTCTGTTTGTGTTTGTGGCGTCTGGTTGGTGAGTTTGAAATGTGTTTTTATGGCTGCAGTTTGCTTTTCCAAATGGTTGTTCTATAAACAACACTGACACTCAAACAGCAGCAGTTTTAGTTTCAGTTTGATGATTTTCATTCAGAATCACCACAAAGATGCAATTATTAATCGGTTTTGTGGTTTGGAAATTGATTTTAATTGTAATTTCCAAACAGTTTACATTGGTATTCCATCATATAGTTATATAAAGGTCTATCATTTAAACAGAAGAATCTTGTGTTTGTTCTACAGGTGTGTTTGGTGTTGATGAAGTGAAGTCAGTGAAGGAGGGAGATTCAGTCACTCTAAACTCTGATCTTACTGAAATACAGACCGATGATGAGATCGAGTGGAGGTTTGGATATAACAAGTTTCTCTTAACTAGACTCAGTAGAGCATCCAGAAGGATCTCTATATATGAGGATGTTCTTGATGGGAGATTCAGAGACAGACTGCAGCTAGATCATCAGACTGGATCTCTGACCATCACAAACACCAGCACCACAGACTCTGGACTTTATACAGTAAACATCATCAGCAGAACTAGAGAGATCAGATACAGATTCAATGTTATCGTCACTGGTAAGTAACAGTTACAGTGTCATTTGTTCTGTCAGCTTCATACTAATAATTGTCTTCAGGTGCATTTACACAAATAATTATTTAACAAGCATTTATAAAACAAACCATTTAAGATTACATGCACAGCCATTTATGTACTTTGTCCTTATGTTTTTAAATGGTCTCTCATTTTGCATGCCATCTCCCTCTCTGACTTGAGAAATGAATTAAGATGAACAGTATAAGGATTAAACACTCACTAATTCTCAATAAAAACACTTACAAATAAAACAGCCTCTTAATTATTGTTACTTACTGTTCATTTATTCTCTCATGTTTATCAGCTCGTCTGCCTGTTCCTGTCATCAGCAGTAACTCTTCACAA